TCCTAATTATTCCTATATCTAAACAACTGTGTTTCTAATCTGTCTATTTCATGTTCCTATTATTTATCCATCGATACCAGTTTTTCCAAACTGGATAATATTCTGAGTCTTCCTTGTCCCTTAACTCCAATGTGAGTTTATCCATCTCAGCGCAATCAAGAATCTTTTGGATTATCAAACAGTCTGTCGGCATGGTATCACTTTTCCAGCATTGTGCGAGTACTATTCTCGCTGCTGTAATTATGTGCAAAATTAAATATTTTATCTCTTTCATATATTTTCCCTTAATAATCTCCAGAAGGAACAGTTCTACTTTGGGATCTATTTAAGTGTTTGTAATTTCCTGTAACCATTTTTGTATTTTAGTCCAATATTTTTTAACACTCGGCCATGGCCACCATGCATGAAATGGTACCCTGTGCCTGTTTACAGTTCCAACAGTTTGATTTAAGTTCAGATAAATTTTTGCCAATCACATGGGGGCTAAGTGCCAATGATAAAACATTTTATATTGGTTTTCTTTGTATGCGACAGATTTTGTTATTGTGTAAATTTTATTCCAAATTCTTTCCCAATCTTCCTTCTGAACCATCATTTAATTCTTGTCTTGTTAGTAAATATCTACAGTAGTATTTTATTATCATTCTTTAGATAGGTAAAAGAACATTTCATGTAAAACATCTGGATAATATTACTGTAAGTCTTATTTATGAACATGGTTAAAAATCCCAGGCTTAACAGCATAGTCTAATATGTATCTCAATGGCATGGCACAATCCCATATTTCTTTATTCAGAAGTACTCTTTCATGGGTGTTTTAGATTTATTCTCAATATTGATTTACTAATGGAACTTCTTATTCTCCAGAAGACCTACTGTTACAGATACTTCAAGGATAAATTGGGGAAGATTTTGGATTCCCATCTCCCTTGTTTTTCAATCAGCCCAAAGAGGAACTGGCATAGTTAATTTTCACACAGTGGAGGAGATAAGTAGGATGGCGAGGGAAAATGTAAATAAATGAGCTTTTCTCATCATTTTCACTTTCATAGAAATGAATCTGTGGGGATTTATTGTCATAGAAACTTCTATGGCTCCTGAATTGACCATAGAATCTCTCTGACATAAACTCAGGGTGCAAATGAGCCAAATTTTTGTTTTCTTCCTAAGCAAATATATTTGCATATTTTGATGTTCTGTTATGAATGCAGAGCATTCTTTATTCAATTTATAATATATTAGTGTGTCATTTATTTTTCATTTCTGCTCAGCTACCACAGCAGCAACCATGCTGAGAATTATTAACTGCAATCCTTGTAAAGAGCTGAGTGAATGCTTATTATGATTTCTCCTGTATTTTTCTTGAATTTCCTTTTATAAAAGTAATAATTTAAAACACTATACTTGATAAAATTATTAAAAAAATACATTTATATTTCTGTAGGTTGGAGAAAGGCCGGTGAAAGACAATTTTTGTCCTCCGCCATATGCTCACTATGAGGTGCCTCCAAGCTTTTATCGCTCAACGATGATCCTCAAACCCCAGTTAGGACTTGGTGCTATTTCCAGGTTGCCATCTGTGAAGAGCAGGATTTTGATTTCCAGTCAAAGGTCTTCAGCAGGCTGCATCCATCCTCAAGCACCAATACCCAGTTCAACGCTATTCCATCCTGACACTTCAGGTGATCAATTAATCTGTTTGGCTGAGTTAGTAAATCATAAGTCATAATAATAAACTGAACTTAATTACAATGTAAAGGTAATTTAGAATATTGCACCCGAGGGGTAATTAGATCGCTAAGTGGTCTGATTAAGTCTGTCTTAAGTAAACCCAGTCTAGGTTTTAATTATAATAGCAAATCACCAATATAGATCTTTGAATTTGCTTGTAGTTTGGTTTGGTTTGGTTTGGTTGTCTGGTTTGATTTAGGCAGGACTAAGTATACAGTGTTTTCCTGAAAATAAGACAGGGTCCCAAAATAGGCACTTGGCCTTATTTTGGGGGAGGTCTTATTATTTTTGAGGTGCAGGAGGTGGCGAGCATGGTCACCTCATAGCCGCTGCTGTGTTGCAATATTTTCAGGGAAGGGCTTATTTTAGCACATGCGCTCAAAAGCCCAATTGGGCTTATTATCCAGGGAAGTCTTATTTTCAGGAAACAGGATAGTAGTTAGTGGTGCAGTCTTACACTACAGTTTTGCTGCCTGATACTGCCTAGAAGTGTTAAACCAACATTCTCATCATCTCCCCTAATCTCCAACCAGTATATTTTGTGTTTTGGAAGATGGTTTGGGGAAGTCTGCTTAATCAACAGCCCCACTGAATGAAATGGTTATATTAAGAATGTTTACACAACACTTTGACTGTGTTACTCAATTAATCCATTTTCTGGATGTGCACAGTAACACAAAGTATCAAGCGTACTGATGATTCATAACATACTAACCATGTGACCTTGTTGTCCATGTTGTGTGAACACAGCTATAGGGTTCTTTGTACACTAAGTTAAAATCTGTAGTATTGTTGGTTAAGTGTTGCAAAAATGACAAGGGATCTGCCTTCTCCCCCATGCTATCCTGTGCCAACACCCCTTTCACTATGAATACATTTACAGCTTACAATGTAAGATGTAAATCATATAACAGTGGATTGTTAGTTTGTTCATGCATTTATTTTGGTGCCTTCACGTCAGTGTTGATTCGTGATGACTGCCTGGACAATTCTCTGCAGTTTTATTGGCAAAATTTTCAGAAATGGTTTGCCATTGCCTGCTTTCAAGGGCTGAGTTTACCAAGCTGGCTTTATGCCTAAAATGGGAGTAGAACTCATGGTTTCCTGGTGTCTGGCCCGATGTCTTAACCACTGCACCATACTGGTTTATATATTAGGAAAATATTTATTTTTGTATGTGAGCTATTGGATCTATTTTCACTAAAAAGTGCAACTGAACAGTTACAATATTTCTGAAGAATTCACATGGTTTTGTGTTGGAGTGAATTTTAAAGCACCTCTGTAAAAATGAACAATGCTTGTAATCAGATATGATCTAGTAGGATTTGTCTGTCTGAATATTAAATGAATGCAAGTTAAATGGAGATTGCTTTCACTCATCAATTGCTAGCATCACTTTGATCCCTACTACAAATCATATGAATTTTAATGCAAATGTAGGGCTGCTCATTCATTTTACACCATTTTTTTCTATCTCTGAGAACATTATCTCCTTTTTGCACATGTTTAGAAAAATAAGAGCTGTAATCTGCTAGTGCCTCAGCTTTATTTTTCCCTGGGGTAAAACTACTATGATTCCATCAAATTAGGGATTATGTTGGGGACATGATGACATCATAAGACTCCATAATTCATAATTCCCTGGAAAATGGTCTGTAGGGTTTAAAATGTTTGTGACACTAAAATAAATACGTTTAAAAATTAAATGCATGTTTCAATTCTCCAATAGTACTTCAACCCCATATCGAGTCATAAAATCATTTTGCATAAGAGAAAAAAATACCCTCTACAATAAAATAATTATTAAATTGTTATCGCACACAGAATAAAAAGTATTGCACACATTATCATCATAAAGCTGTAGATATTGTTCCTATTTGTTTCAAAATCTCAAGGGAGAAACATCAACCTCAGTTTTGTTGCTTTTGAGTTCACACAATGGCTTCTGCATTCATTTTTCCATTGTTTTAAAAGAGAAATGTTACTTCCATTTCTTTATATCTTATATCTATTATCCCATGTGAATATTGGGGCAAAAAGCATATTTCTTAAAATATGTTATATTTTGGCACTCCTGCTTTTCTGAAAACGTTCTCACTTTGCTTTTCAAACCATTTAACACAAATGTAAAAAAAACAGAATATTAAATTGCACATTGATATGCAATGTTTAGTTTACTATGTCTACTCAGAGATAAACCCCCTTGAGTTTAATGGAGCTTACTCTCAAGGTAGTGAATATAGAATTGCAGCTGCAATGCAAGGACAGGATTTTCTGACTCCAGGCATACAAGAAACCAGTTGGCAATTAGATCCCTGCTGATTTCGACTAATGAAAAATAGGGCTTGATTAACTTATCTTTTTTTCAGGAGAATAGTGAATGTAAACTTGCTAGAGTAGACTAAAGTGAGGTTGATTAGCTTATGGTTCAGCATTTTGTGGGAAACCCAGCTGTTTTCTTCACTCCCAAGAGTTAGCATGTTGTGTGAGCTAGGTCATCACGTTAAGCCATAGAATAATTTATTCATCTGGGCATAGTATGTTTTGTGAACACCGCAATTGTGCTTGGTTAGCACGGGGTTAGGGTTAAGTGTACTGTGAACCAGCCATCTGCCTAGGTAGATCCTCCAGGAAAAAAACAACAACCCTGAGCTTGGATAATCTTCATGGACTTTTCTCTTTTCAATGGATTTTATTAAAACACAAAATTGTAAAGAGTGCAGGAGAAAATATTTTAAGTATCCATCTCACAAATATCTGGCTTATCCAATTCTATTGCACTATTGTAATCATGCTAAGGTGGCAGGCTGAACCAAAGTAGGACTCAAGCCTGAACCAAACTAGGGTTTCATGATATTAAGCT